CCCAGAGAATCCAGATGACATTCCTGCCAAAATGATGCGTTACAATCTTCGCTCTATTAAATTTCTATCATTTTACACAGGCCCAATTAACAGGCAATTCTTTCAAACCTTCAATATAGTTGCAGTTCCAGCTTGTTTGCTGTTCACAGACCAAGATCTCTTGAAACATATATCAGAAAGAGGGGGTCAGGGATTTATGGTGCTGGGATCACAGATGGATCATGATTTTTTGTTTAATGGCTATGTCATGTCCCTGAACAGTATTATTTTTCCATTGTGTAAAGGGTTAATTGGGCCAGGCATTAGCTACAATTACTGCCCTTAAGTCTTCAAGAATACATTTAGACCGAAAAGAGTTTGATCCCTGAAAAGCTTTATGGGAAGAATCTAGTAGAATCAAAAATGATAAATTCTGTTGGGGGACCAAAAGATGCAAATCCGGAGTTGTCTTATCATGTTGGATCAATTAAACTTCATTGTAGCAATTCTTAAAGTACACTTTGCTTCTCAGAAACCAGCTGGGAAGGTTGCAAAAGGCCATTACATGATCCTAGGACACTGCAACTGTCATAAATACATGCCATTTGCCAAACATCTGAATTTTGATCACATGACCTAAGGAAGGGGTGTCAAACTGGCGGCCTGTGGGCCTGATGCGTCACATGCAGGCCATGCCCACCCCAGCTCCGCAAATGGGAAAAACATGAAATGTCACATGAGTTTGACACCCATGATCTAAGGACTTATCATCACTTTGTTCTATACCATTGTAACTTTGAATAGACGCTAAAAGAATGATTGTTAATTCAATTCAATTCAATTCAATTTATTAGATTTATAGGCCGCCCAATCCCGGAGGACTCCAGGCGGCTTACAAGAACAAAGGAAAAACAAAATAAAATAAAAATAATTTTAAAAATTCCCCAACACGCATACGTTCTGATCGGGGCTGGAACCTACATAATAAGGTCACCAGCCCCAGGCCTGCCGGAACAGCCAGGTTTTAATGGCTTTTCTGAAGGCCATGAGAGTGGGTGAGGTCCGGACCTC